AACCAAAGCCAGCCTGCAATGAAAGCAACCAGAAGTGTGGTTGCTGTGTGTGGGCGAACTTCTGTGGTGCTAGAAATACTGTTTTCTTAATAGTTGCACGGGCGTCTGAACTCGAATCGCTGCGTTCCTTCAGATCTGCACGTTGTCCTGCAAGTTATGCCCCAAACAATTTCAAAGGGGAAAAAAGAACCTCTATTTACAACTGTATGAAAAAAGGAGGGAACACAGAAAGACTATCAACGCTGAAGTTCTCGTTCTTGCCCTGGTGGTATCTTTTAGTTTTATACCCTCCCAAATCAAAAGTTATGTGACAATAAGCCTAAACAACCAATACTAAACAAACAACATAACTCTAATAGCTCCCCAAATTCTTTATGCACATGCTCCGTGAAGCTGGAGAAGTTCTGCTTTGTAACTTGCCATTACTTTCCAGAAATGTTTCCAAATGTTGGTCTTTCCCAATTCTGAGGTATTCGCTACCATTAACGGTTCACAAGCCAGTATTAGAAAAGCTTCACGTTTTGCCTGCAAAGACTGACAGCCGCTGAGGCAGAGCCTGCAGGTCCAGGAGAAAGGCGCTAGGTGGCGGCGCCGTCCTCTCCCACCGCCACCTCCCCGCGCGCGAGGCAAGAGCGGTTCCCTGGTCCTGACTGGTCCCCTGAAACCCCTGCTCATCGCGGAACACGGTTTCAGCAGAAAACGTTATGTTCAGAGATGACACGCCACTTTCTAAATACAGGTCTTCAAAGGCACAGTCTAATTTAAAGATTCCCATAAAGTTTTCCTGTGGGATTCAACATTATTCTACGGTCATGTGCCAGGTAACGACATCTCCGTCGACGACAGACCACCCGGACCACGGCGGCTCCGTGCAGCTATAAGACCACATTTGTACGGTACCTTTTCTGTGTTCAGATGCACAAATACTTACGGTCGGGTTCCAGCTGCCGACAGCCATCAGTAGAGTGACACGCTGCGCAGGTGTGTCGCCGGCTGTCCCGTCCAGGTTTAAGTAAACTCTGTGGTGTTCGTGCAATGACAAAATCACCTGACACATTTCTCAGAATGTAGCCCATCAGGTGACACGTGACTGTCATTCTCTGAGGTTATAATGGCATCTGTTGTTTCAAAAAAGCCTTTTCAAGCTAACGCACTAAGATAACCATTCGAGTACAGAAGTGAATCCCGGGGCTCATCCAAAATGCCTAGAAGCTGCGCCGTGTACCCGCCGCGGGTGTCACCGCCAGTCTCTGCTGCGGGCTCTGGCTCTAGTGTCAACCTGCCGTCAGGGACCGAGCCACACGCAGCTTCCTATTCCTCAGGGTGGCTGCTCTGCGGTGCGGAGAGAAACGCTTAATAAAGGCTTGCTTGCTTGGATCCTGATGATTGGATATTGTCTGTACGTCTAAAAGTAAGTCGGCCTCGACTTCTCAGCGTGGTGAGTAGGTTTGGGTCCGAGTTACTATGAATTTAGGCAAGTCTAATAAATAGCCTGGAAGCAAACGTCCATGACCGCGCATCACCTAGGATATATCCATCCGTTTTGGTAACTTTAACTTTTAATACTCCTCTGCAGCTTGGCACTTTGTTGATTCAATGTGTATTCTTTTAATTTCTCCGTTTTTTGTTGTTTTTTGTAGTATACACTGTATCAAACAGCAACTATGTTTGGCTGCTTGCAGAAGAGGCCAAGCATAACAGAGGCTTTACAAAGTTAATCTGTCTCTCGCATAAAAGCAGCCTGCAGGTTGGCAGTCCAGGGCTGGTGGGATGGCTCCATAGTTGACAGGAACCTAGATTCTGCCTTCATTTGTGGGTGGCTTCCATTCTCAAGGTCCTCTCAAGGTCGAAGATGGCTGCTGAAGCTCCAGCCATCAGGTCTGCATTCCAAGAAGGAAGCAAGAAAAAAATCTAAAAAACAAAAGGGCCATACCACCTGCCTGCCTCTCTTTTAAGCAGCTTTCCCAGAAGCTTCATTTAACAACTTCCCACTTTCCTCCTATGGACCAGAGCAGTCACATGGCCGTATCTAGCTCCAAGAGACCCAGGGACGTGTAATCTCTTAGCTAGGCACGCTGCTGCCTTCTCAGCATACCAGACTCTGTCACTAAAGAAAAGAGGAAGAAATGCAGGATCGATTCTGCCACACGTAATGACTCAGGACTTTCAGTTCGCATTACGGCTCAGTGTGGTCAGACGTGTGCGCACGGGGTGCATCTCTCTCCCCGTTTACCCGGCTCCCACTCTCACCCCACCCTCACCGCCACTCGGTCCGACCATCGCCCGACCGATGACGGCGGTCACTGTCTGTGACACCCTCCACGTGCCGCTCCGCGCTCTCAATCCCAGACAGACATGCGTAAGCACGAGCTCACACGGACGCACACGTGGGTTTTCCGGTTGCTGATTGTCTGATGAGGTACAACGCACACTTCTGCGCATTTTTCTCAGGGGGTCCTGCAGAACTCTCTCCAGGCTAACAGCTCCTCTAACTCTCAACTCGCTCTCCGTGTGGCGGCACAGTGTTCCTTGACGCGGACGCTGTGACTGGCTTGACGCTCCCTCCCGAGGGGCAGTCACCTTCCCAGTGTTCGGCCCGTCGCACGCGCAGGTGTCCCCACATATCTGAGCCCAGGGCGAGTCTGCTTTCAATTTTCACAGCTGCTGCCAGATTGATTTCCAAAAGCAGCTAAAACACTTCGTATATTTACCTCAATATGTAAGTATTTTTCCCACCAGTTCCCCGGTAGTAAGCCACATACTGGGGGAAAATATTTGCAAGACACGTATCTGATAAAAGACATCCAAAATATACAAAAAACTCTTAAAATTCAAGAATTACAACCTAATTAAAAATGGGCAAAAGATCTGAACAGACGCCTCACCGAAGAAAACATACAGATGGAAATAATCGTGCGAAAGGCGTATGCCACCAGTGGATTCCACCGCACCCGTGTCCGAGCGGCAAACGCCCAGGCTGCTGACAACGCCGAGTGCGGATGCGGACGCGGAGCAACAGGAACCCCACGCGCCGCTGGCAGGAATGCACAACGGGACAGCCGCTTCGGAAGAGCTAAACGTCCTCTTACCATGCGGTCCAGCAGTCACATCCCCTGGTACTTGCCCAAATGAGCTGAAAACTCACATCCACACAAAAACTTGCACACAAATGCTTACAGCAGATTTACTCAAATTGCCAAAAACCGGAAGTAGCCAAGATATCCCTCAACAGGTGAATGGAAAATGAGTTATGGTACATCCATACAATGGAACGTTATTTGGCAATAAAAATGAGTTATCAAGTCTTGAAAAAGACACGGAGAAACCTTAAATACGGGTTGCTGAGTGAACGCAGGCAGTCTGAAATGGTTACATACTGTGTAATTCTAAATATAGGTCATTCTGGAAAAGGCAAAACTATGGAGACAGTAAAAAGATGGGTGGTGTCCAGGGGGAAGAGGGGATTTATTACTGGCTTAAGGGCTGTGACTCTGAGGACAGTGACAGACAGGCAGGTGCTGCCTGTCCACTGCAGCTGCCTCAGCTCTCTTCCCTCTTAGCATCCAGCTGCCCCCGAGCCCCGGCACAGCTGCCCGGCACCGGGCTGGGCCCCCAGCTCTGCAGATGCTCCCCCGGACGTGATGGTTTGCAAGACCCCTACACAAGCTCCTGTTTATGATACCGCTTTGATGTCCAAATACATGTGCTTCCCATATTTTCCCTCACTCTTCGAACTGTCCCCTGGGACAAGTCAGCTTCAGCTGAGCACTTCTCTGATTCTTCGACTCACCTACACATCCGTGCACGAGCTCAGGGACGTACTGAATCTTCCACCCACATCCGTGCACGAGCTCAGGGACGTACTGAATCTTCCACCCACATC